TCCATCCGTCTATCTGACTGCCTACCTATCTCTCTCTCTTTCTCTCTATCCATCCGTCTATCTGCCTGCCTATCTGTCTATCTAGTTATGGTCTCTCTCTCTCTCTCCCTCTCCCTCCCTCATCTCATTATCATCTATCTCAGTGTTTCTCCACCTTGGAGACTTGAAAGTGTGTGGAAGTCCACATACTTTCAAGTCTTCAAGGTGGAGAAACACTGAGGTAGATGATAATGAGATGAGGGAGGGAGAGGGAGAGAGAGAGGGATACCATAACTAGATAGACAGATAGGCAGGCAGATAGACGGATGGATAGAGAGAAAGAGAGAGAGATAGGTAGGCAGTCAGATAGACGGATGGAGAGAGAGGGGGGGGAAAGAGGGAGAGGGATACCATAACTAGATAGACAGATAGGCAGGCAGATAGACAAACAGACGGATGGACGGATAGAGAAAGAGAGGATATGCATAATTAAGGTGACCAGACATTCCTAGCGAGGTCGCGGGCTGGCAGTAACCGCCGCGGCCTAGTTCCCCCCCGGTCAATGGTGTCCCTCTTTACCAATCTGAAAATCTGGTCACCTTAGATATGCTCTATATTATTTGTTAACACCTGAATTAAATATTTTTCAACAAAGAAGCATGCAAAAGATATGAAAGCTATTCAATCATTCTTTTTATATTTAAAAAATAAAATAATATTCCAGACTGGCTTCTTTTTCCATTCCTCTTTCTTGCTTTCTCGCTTGCTTGCTAGTCCTAGCACACAGATTTTATGTATATGTCTTCATCCAGTTTCATATAATAAAATAATCAGGACAAAAGGACTATATTATACATTTTTGCTTAGGAGTATTTAGTGTTTCTAAGAATGCAAGATTAAAGTGCTATTCTTTACATTGTCTTTGCAGAAACTATGCCATGTTTTCCCTTTGTTCTAGTGTTTATGGAAGAAGCTCAAAAAGAGATTTCCAAAAATAAGGCAGTAAATTCAATCAAATATTTTTTTCTTTCCTTTTTCAAGATTTAAAAGATGCCATTGAAGATGTCCTGCCTACTTTAAATGATGAAGGGATATGTGTTTTCTATCTGAGTGATGATTCCCCAACTGAAGGCGTAGAGCCACTACTCAAACAGATCAAATTAAGTTCTGCTGAATCAGTGCCATTTTCCTTCAGAGCCAATGTAACAGCTAAATCTGTATGTCTATATATTTTCACCTCTGGGACCACAGGTGAGGAGCATGAAAGGTGGAATGGTTGCTGGGAGACCTAGAAGGATAACATAGGCGGATGGCTTGAAATAATCTCTGTTGACTTCTGCTTGTATGATTGCATAGTTTTTATGATATGCATAGCCTAGATTAGGGTTAGGTAATAAGTAACAAAGTTAGGTAAGAAGTCATTTTTCTTTTGTGTCTGCAAAGCTTTCTGCTCACCTGACATCATCATCATGCCCACCTGACCACCTTATATCATCATCATCATCATCATCATCATCATCATCATCATCATCATCATCATCATCTGATGCTGATGAATGGAAATTGGCATGTTGCAAAGCTTTAGTTCATTGATCTGTACTTTTTTTTTTTTTTTTGCTAGTGAGTGCTTTTGAAATATCAAAGTCATATGATCCCTATGTCTGGTATGGAATCAAGCATACAATCATGAAATTGATTGTAAATTATCATTTCTTGCTTTTTCTCCAAATTCATTGCATCCTTTATTTTTTTCCCTCCCTTTTCACTTTCCTCTAGGACTCCCCAAAGCTGCTACCATTTCCCAGAAGAAAGCAATAATGGGGTCCCATCTGTTTTACCTGTCCGGTGTCCATAACAAAGATGTTGTTTATTGTCCACTTCCTCTGTACCACTCAGCTGGATTCCTTGGGCTTGTGGCAACCATAAACAGGGGTAGGCACAAAAGACCAGGGAGCCTGGAATACACATAGAGACCTTCACCCACAGAGTATTATCAAGAGACACAGAGTTCTTATATCAGCTTATATCTTATATATAATAGCATCCACAGAGAACATCACAGCCTGCCTCAGATACTTTCCCAGCAAGCTAATAATAACTCTGCATGAAGGAGTTAAGAAAAATAGGATGAGGCAAGCAGGAAGACGTGAAGGTTTATACTATTGTGTCAATTATTAACCAACCTTGATACAGTAATGATGTATAGATAGTCCTAACTTACAACAGTTCATTTAGTGACCATTCAAAGTTACAACACCCCTGAAAAAAGTGACATGATCATTTTTCATATGACCATTGCAGCACCCGCATGGCCACACGATCAAAATTCAAATCTGTGGCAACTGACTCATATTTATGGCAGTTACAATGTCCTGGGGGCATGTGATGAATAACCTTGTGCAAACTCCTTACAAGCAAAGTCAATAGGGGAGCCAGATTCACCTAACAACCATTTTGCTAATTTAACAACTGCAGTTTCACTTAATAACTCTGGCAAGAAAGGTCATAAAATGGGGCAACATTTTGCTTAGCAGATATTTTTAGCTCAATTGCAAGTTGAGGACTATCTAAACATTTCCAGTATTCTGACACAAAAATAACATAAATATAATCTCACAATAAATATATAATCTCACATAAATATAATCTCACAAGCATCCAGATTCAAATCCCAGAAGGGTATGGCAAAGTGATGAGAGCTAAATAGCTTGAAATAGATCTGTACTAATTTCTCTTTATTTCTTTGTTGATAAATATAAATTTAACACAATACTACAATAAAAAATACATGTGCCAAGAACACTTTAACTAGCTCTTTGGCAGATTCAGAAGAAAACTTCTCACTCTTGGAGCAGTTTTGTAATGCAAACTTATATATTTGTAAGGCAGAAAATGGCATGTCAATCTATGAATGTTAATGCTGGGAGTTGGAGGAGGAGGAGGAGGAGGAGGAGGAGGAGTAGGAGGAGTAGTTTTTCTTGTTTGAACCATAGGCCACATCAAAGTATACATGAATTTCATGGACTGATAAATATTTTAGCAGTATTCCTTTTCTACGGTTATGCCATTTAATTATTTATAATTATTTATATCCTATCTTTATAATTTTTATAAATCAGCTAAGATGAACATATCTAACATGCCAATATTTTCCTACAACAACAACTCTGTGAGATAGGTTGGACTAAGAGAGAGTAACTGACACAAAGTCACCCAGCTGGTTTTCATGGATAAGGTGAACTCACAATCTCCCTAATGGAAGGACATGAGAATTGCATCCCTTTTAGTTTGCTAATTTATATACTGAAATATTTGTTGCAAGTTATTCCTAATAGGTAATTCTAGGATGGGTCATAGTATCAGTCTTATGGAACACTTAAAGTGGTGAACGCTACACAGCTAAACGAAGAAGCAGAAAACAACTTGTAAATCACTTGAATAGTGGGTGGATAGATCGGTGGATCAAATAAGTGTGTATCAAATATTTGCTGATCACAACCATATAAATTGTAAAAAATATATAAAAGAGCCGAGGTGGCGCAGTGGTTAGGGTGCAGTACTGCAGGCCACTTCAGCTGACTGTTATCTGCAGTTCGGCGGTTCAAATCTCACCGGCTCAAGGTCAACTCAGTCTTCCATCCTTCCGAGGTGGGTGAAATGAGGACCCAGACTGTGCGGGTGATATTCTGACTCTGTAAACCGCTTAGAGAGGGCTGAAAGCCCTAT